TTTCAGAGGACGTAACGCGACTGCTAAGTTTCATTTTTGTCTGTATACATTGTGCATTGGGTCTATCGGTCTGCGCATTCGAGAAAACCTAATAAAGAAAAATTAGTTCCCAGACAAGGATCGAAACTGCGTCCTATTTTGTAGTGAAAACCAGTGTGCTTTACTGCTCGGCCACGAAGAACGTCACAGCAAGGCAAAGTTCTACGTTTCCTGTTTTAAAGAAAGCTAATCTTCACTCAGATAATTTTTTGAAAGCTTCATATCAGCTCAGTTTTGTATCGGAAAAGCAAGCAGAGCAATTAAAAAAATGATAATAGATTTATAGTTAATCAGATATTTTTATTACTTTAATGTATATAAAATGGACCAAACCCGGATATAAGAGAAACCCGGATATAAGAGACTTCTTCTCCGGTCCCGACAACTCACTTATATCCGGGTTACACTGTAATTAAATCTCTCTCTCTCTCTCTCTCTCTCCTGTTCGAGAAACCGCTCTATATGTCCACATTATTATTCCTATCTCTCTTCATCAGAGTTCAAGAGTTCTTCAGTCAGTCAGGAAATAACAAGCCAAAATTGATATACTATAATGAACAATAATAGTATTATTATTATTTTTTTTTTTTAAATTTACAGTTGTTTGTGATGGATTGAATCAATAATAACCCAACAAGCATATGAAAAAAAGAAGTATCACTATTTTTGCTCAATTGTTGAAACTGAGAACTTTATTTTAAGAAAATCTGCTCGCTTTGAACATAAGCTCAGAATGAAACAATCCAGGTTATTTATGCATACTTCTCCTGTGGGTGGGGTCTGTCTCACTACCCACTCATCAAAATACAATACACACATGAAATCGATTAAAAAGACAAAAAAATTAGTAAACCCAACCTAAAAAAAAAAAAAAAAAAAAAAAAAAAAAAAAGGGGAAAGAAAAAGAGCAGACTTATTTATACCATTTCCGACATCACTATGAGGGGGTCTCCGTCCCAACTTTCCAGAAGGAGAACTCTTTCTTAAGTCCAAACACGACCTACTGCTTCTGTCCAAAACAGGTATGACGCGGCGGGACATCAGGCGAAACCTTTGACCTTTTCCTCACATCTTGTCCTGAAAAATGCTTAGCAAAAGTACCCACCACCTCCAGATACGTCAGACTATTCCCTGGTCAGTGTCGAAATTGATACCAAACCAAAGGCATCTCTTGATTTGCCGTTCCATAGAACGATTTTTCGCCAGACGCAGGCAGACTGGAACAACGGTATCTGTCTATATTTCTGAGATGAGGTATTATATACACTATTTACATTATTCGGACTATTGTCCTCATCTTTGTCGCCATATTTATTACAACGTTTCGGCCGTTGTACGCTCCGGCCTTCTGAAGGACACATGGCACAGTGAATAAAGGCATTGGTTAGATCCAGTGACAGGACCCAAAGAGTGTGAGTTCAATACCCGGTTAAGACAGTGGAGAACTTGGAGAGGGGAATTACAGGAGATAACTGATAACTGACATCCATTAAACATGACACGTGGAACTAGAACAGTCCGAACAGTCTACCTCAGCGAGCAAAATAAAGGGTTTGGTTTGATATTCCAACCATCTGAAGAAGGCCGGAGCGTACAACGGCAGAAACGTTGTAATATATATGACGACAAAGACCAGGACAATAGTCCGAATAATATAAATAGTGAACTTTATATCTAATATGACAGGAGCTCCTGTGTCAACATTCTTCAAGTACGCTGCCTCTAAAACTGCTGCCCTCGTCTCAGAATGGGTCCTTTCTATAATGAAGAGTTATATACCCACAAAAATTCCAATTAGTTCATCCCTGAATGGGCTTCAGCCATAGCCGACCAGAATCTCTACTTCAATGTCTATCACAAGGAGCGGTGTAGTTTGAATCTTGCTGCATTCAGAAACTCCCACAGTCGCTGCAAGAAAGTTCTGGAAAATTCAAAGTGTAGCTATGCACGTTTCAGGAAAAGGTTGAAAATAAATTGGATCCCGAGTGTTCTAGAAGACCACTAACCAAATTATGAATAGAAGAAGCACAGCAGCTGTGTCTACGATTACAAATGATTCCGAGGTCATATCTTCTTCGACAGATAAGGCGAAGCTCTTCACCTCAATCTTTGCTTCCAACTCATCTGTAAAAGACACTGGACATCCCCTTCACGACTTCCCCTATTTCTCTAAGCACAATCTCGAGTACTTTATCACAGCCCGTGAAGTCTCTAGGCCTTGACCCTGAAAAAGCTGCTGTCCCAGACAAAATCTCAGTGGTTGTCCTTAAGAATATCAACCCGGAACTATCCCCGATCCCTGATCTTAGCGAAACTATTTAACCGCTGTTTGAAGGGGAAATACTTCCCAAGACTGTGGAAACTGTCAAGCTTACGCCCGGTTTTCAAAAAAGCGGCCGAATGCTCATCCTCCTCTCAGTATAGACCCATCAGTCTCCTCAGTGTCATTAGCAAGCATTTTGAAGCTATAATCAACAAGAAGGTTGTTGAGCACCTGGATTAGAAAAGCCTCTTGCACAACAAGCAGTACGTGTTTTGATCCGCCCGATCCACTGCTGATGTCCTCTCATTACTCACAGAATCAGTGAGTCACTAGACAACAAATACATGCCAAGGACCATAGCATTAGATATTTCGAAGGTCTTTGACAAGGTGTGACACAAAGGATTGTTGCTCAAGTTCTCTAGTTATGGAATCACCGGAAGTGTCTTTTCAATAATAAAGTTATAACGGGAAGTTCACTGAAAGGAGTTGTTAACGGCCAGTCCTGTGGGGCCTTAGCAATCAACGCAGGCGTTCCCCTGGGGTCATTTTCCACTCACTATATTTTCAGTATAAACCACAGGTACGCTCTATCGGTGTTGAGCAAGCACAAACGTGCCTGAGCAGGCGTCAGCAACAGGGATTGGCTAGTTACCCTAGCAAATAGGAATATCCAGAAATGAGTGATCAAACTATATATATACCTCGACTTAACTAAACACAATTGTGCGTTCATTTTTTTTCTTTTGGTCTTTAAAAGAAAAAATGTGTTTATTTAAGTCTATTTATTCTTTGGTATCAAAACATTATTCAGAATATTCTTATACAATATTTATATATATATATATATATATATATATATATATATATATATATATATAAAAGATGTAAGAAGTTGATGAAAACATCTCGGCCAACATAAAAGATTTGGACAGGGTTTTAGCTGAATAATTTTTAGTACATCTATGCGCGCACACACACACACACACACACACACACACTTTCAAATTACGGGTGAAGGTGGTTCTGTATATAAAACATCTCACTCCCACTATCAAACTCACCTTATTCAACAGTGGTAATAGGGGTGTTGAAATCTTATAAACAATGGAAAAACGCTCACTTGAATTCCAGCCGCGTTCAACAGGCGAAGCTCGGAATAAACTATTCTACTAGTATTCAAGACAACACGAAAACGCATCTGATGCAGTCAAACATAATAAGAAATGAACAACAGCCAAAAACAAACACCTTTGAAAATGGATAAAGAGGTAGTCGAAAGCGCTTGGGAAAATGGGCAATTTTCGCATTTCCTTCTTAACCGCCATCAAACAGAAAAAAACGTAAGAATGCTGGAAAAACTACATAAAAATTTAATTAAATTTTCCTTGTCTGTCATATATAATGAAACGTGTTTAAAGGGTAGCTGCCCAAATACGCATTAATATACATATACATACATACGTGGAAATATATCTATGTGTGTGTTTGGGTGTGTGTATATATATATATATATATATATATATATATATATGGCTAACTATCTTATGGCACAAGGCTAAAACAAAAGAGCGCCAGGCGAAGATCGAAATTTTGAAGATGATATTGCCAACTAACGCGTAAAAACTCAGTAACTGAAGTAGTAAGCATTAAAGTAAGGATTTAGAATACAGATATTTAAAACATTCCCTATTTGAAACACAATCTCACTATCTCCTCGTGTTGTATTACGCTTGGTAAATATCAAATGATTGTGTTCGTACATACGGGAAATTATGCTCTTACGCACACACAAACGTGTGTATATATATATATATATATATATATATATATAAAAAAGAACAGATTTATAATCCGTAGTTCTTTTTATTTTATATATATATATATATATAAAGAAAGAACAGGGTGCCGACGATAGCTGTGCTAGCACGAAGTCATCCTCGCCAAGGGTTTGAAAGTGCTGGCCTTGTTCAAATTGTTGATCACGCTAGATAATACGCTTTTTGCCAGAAAGTCTAAAGTCTGCTCAGCATAGTTGCAGTATAAACCACAGGTGGGCTCTGTGGGTGTTGAATAAACACAAATGCTCCTGAGCAAGCGTCTGCAATAGGGATTGGCTCACCGCCCTAGTAGACGGTATCCTCGAATTTAGATCAATTACGTCTGAGTAGTGAGTTCGATCCTCACTGGGTGCCCCCTACTTTCGGCCTTGTGCCACATCCAGTCTTCGCTTGGAAAATCACTATATATATATATATGTGTGTGTGTGTGTGTGTGTGTTCAGACCGATGTGGATCGATATATATTTCTTTTATATACCAAGTCACACACACACACATATATATATAACTGCATAATATCTATATCTATATATCTATCTATCTATATTTTATATATAAAAAGAAAAATATATGTTTTTTTTTATATACAAATATACGTTATATATATATATATATATATATATATATATGTGTGTGTGTGTGTGTGTGTGTGTGAGGGAAAGGGGAGAGAGAGATGGAGAAATCGAGAGAGGGAGGAGGGAAAAAGCCCAACTGTGTCTCTGCTCGTCAGTGAGTCTGTCTGTTCCCGAGACAGCCGGCGACGACCATCTAACATAAGGAGCCATGCATAGATTGATACTAGTCGGGGTGAGGTGGGTGGACAGTGGCAGTTGGGGTGTGAGGTGGCTCGGAGCATTCATGACTGACGCCAAGCTTCTTCCTTTGTCCTCTCACCCCACTCACTCTCTCGGCGCCATTTGCCTTCTTCATTTCTCCAGCTTTCAGTCAATAAACAAGCACAAGCAAACCTTTCTCTCTCTCTCTCGTTTTGATTACTTCCGCCTTCTTTCTTTTTCCCCCTTTTTTTTTCTTTCTTTCTTTTCCTTTGTTACACTAACAGCGTCGCGCATTTTTCTTTCTTTCTTTCTGCTTTCACTTCTTTCTTTCTCGACACTTTTTCCACTTCAGTCTTTCACTTCCTTTTCTTTCTTGCTTTTTCCAGACTTTCACTTCTTTCTTTCTTTCTTTTTGCAGTCTTTCTTTCTTTCTTTTTGTAGTTTTTCTTTCTTTCTTTCATTTTGTAGTCTTCCTTTCTTTCTTTCTTTTTTTGTAGTCTTTCTTTCTTTCTTTTTTTGTAGTCTCTTTCTTTCTTTCATTTTGTAGTCTTCCTTTCTTTCTTTCATTTTGTAGTCTTCCTTTCTTTCTTTCATTTTGTAGTCTTCCTTTCTTTCTTTCTTTTTTTGTAGTCTTTCTTTCTTTCTTTTTTTGTAGTCTTTCTTTCTTTCTTTCTTTTTTTGTAGTCTTTCTTTCTTTTTTTGTAGTCTTTCTTTCTTTCTTTCTTTCTTTTTTTGTAGTCTTTCTTTCTTTTTTGTAGTCTTTCTTTCTTTCTTTCTTTCTTTTTGTAGTCTTTCTTTCTTTCTTTCTTTTTGTAGTTTTTCTTTCCTTTTCCAGGCTTTCACTCCTTTTTATTTTCTTGTCTCACTTCTTTTTCTTTCCAGTCTTTCACTTCTTTTACTTTCTTTCTTTCTTTTTTCTGGATTTTTACTTTTTCTTCTTTCTTTCTCCAGACTTTAACTTCATATCTGTCCCTTTGTATGACAGTAAGTGCTGGACATTTTCCCCAAAGATGAAGAAGAGACTTGAAACAACAGAAGTGTTGTTCTACAGAAGGATGCTGAGAATACCATGGACGGAACATGTAAACGACGACGATGTTTTAAAGAAAATGAAAACAAGTTGGAAATTTATATTTAATACCAGGGGGTGGGGACAGTTGAGGTTTCAAGGGCACATAACGAGGAAGGAGGGCTGGAGATATTGTTCCTTTTGTAGTTTGCGTCCTCGAGACTATTTACAGAAATCCTTCTGCTATGCAAGGCGTCTTGGAGATAACTGATGTTATTGGGAGTGGGCAACTAGCATCACCGTTTAGAACATCTCATGTGCCGAGGAAAGCGGCGGTTAGGAGCTGAACTGCGATATATTCATCGTCACCCGGTCGAAACATCTAAGAAACCTGAGACGATATCAGCGCAGATAATAATGGCACTACTTAAGTAGACTGGTCCGTCGTCGTTGGCGGAACTCGTTGCCGAGTATTGAGTTGCTCGTCGACATTTCCTTCTGCATGAAATGCGTCCTGTGTTGGATTTGAAGAGAGGCCCGCAGCCACCACGTGGTAGTGTAGAACGGTCCAGGAAATGGAGAGCTCTGATTTTTCTTTGGGCTCTTTTCTTCTATTCTATTTGTTTTTGAAGGATGTTAATTTTTCGTGGACTTCTCTCCTCCAATTGGTTCTTTCTGTAGCTTCCGTCTCCCAATTAACTGGATAGATTTTTATCTTCAGATCTATATATTTTGGCATATACAAAAAACAAAAAAAAAAAAACCAAATTATGACTATTTTCGTAAAATCTGAACCGGTCATTATTTTTTTAAATGTTGAATCTGAAGAGACGTCTAAAGCCACCGCATGGTAGGGAAGGAGGGTTCAGAGAATCAGCGAACTCTGACCTTTTTCTTTTTGCTCTCTTCGTCTCTTCTATTTGTCTTTTACTGTTTTCGAAGGGTGTTGATTTCTCGTGGACTGCTCTTCTCCAATTGCTTCTTTCTACAGCTTCCGTCTCCCAATTGACCGGATAGACTTCTGTCCTCAGCGAGGCGTTTTAAAGCTGAATCTTGAATCGGCGACGTGTGTCTCCACGTGGTCTCTTGCCAGATGCGAGCTCCGAGAAGAAGATTTGTTTGGGTAGGCGAATGTCGTATTCTGGAAAGGTGTCCAGTCCATCACAGTCCGTAGTGACTCATGATGGCTTTTAGGCTCTCCACCTGACCCACTCGTAAAAATGAGGAAACATTCTTTTGGAAACAATTTTTGTAGATGTGCATTCTTAGAACATCATCAGGCAACGACAAGATTACGGTAATATCATGCTGAATTAACGGTTCTTATTCGATCACCAAAGTTAAGCAGCATTGAAAATGGCCAGTAACAATATGGGTGACTGCTCGGGAATACCAAATGCAGTAAGCATAGATACGGGGGGAGGGGTTGATGTAATGGATAATTGCTCGGGATGAGAAATCGGAGAGCCGTGTTCGAATTCCTGTCGGGTTTGTTACATTCACTTATGTGTAAATACCCTTGGGAAAGTTATGAATCCACCTTTTCTCCTCCCAGCTATAGGTTAAATATTAAATATTTGTATCAGAAAAAATATTATCTCAACAAAATTCTTATAATCCAAAAATATATTTCGGCTTTAAGCAACCTTAAAAAGGTTGATAAGCCGTAAAAAAAACCCCCAAAAAAAAAAAAACAAAAAAAAAAAAAACAAATAAATAAAAAAAACACATTTGTAGCAATTGAAAAATCAATTTTTTTCAGTGATTACAAGGGGTTCTATGTCGTTTAAAACCGATCCCTGATTATTTATAGTATATACATATTTTTTTAAATAACTTATATAGGGGTGGACTTACATTTTTAGGGCCCTTTAGCTTGAACAGATATGGGACCTCCTTCACAACCAGTAACAATAAATTCGAGGATTCAACTGGAGGTTATCAATAGATTCTGGCGTGCTCAACGAGCTGGGGGTTTGGACCCCAAGAAAATTTTGAAATTTGATTAAATTACAGAGCAATCTTCAGGCCATGAATGATACATGCTTAGGCGACCATGTATCTTTCGATACATGACTGACGAGGCAGATTTTTTTTTTCCCGCAGGAGATTGCCATTTCTTTCTGCGGTAGACCAGTTTCCATCCAAGGCTATAGAATCCGTCCTGCTATTTACCCATAGTTGAGGGGGGGGGAGAAGAAGAGGATACATACCTTTTCCAAGGGTATTAGAACATGAGTGAATGTAATAGATTCAACTGGAATTCGAACTCGGCTCTCTGATTCCTCAATCCGAGGAGCTATCCATTACCTGACCATATGGGTATTAGAGCATATTCTTAAGCCAGTATTAGTTACTTCAACCCATAGGCTTATGATTCTATAACTAAAATGGCCTTATTTTAATAACACTAACTTTTAATTTTTTTAAAAAAAGATGCTTCAGAGGCCACTTTGGAATTAGCTTAAGTTTCATTAGTTTCATAGTAGATCCGTCATTGAGCTAATATTGTAAACTAAGTTCTGAACAAATGTGCCTGCGCAGGCGTCAGCAACAGGGATTGGCTAATTACTAATCTGGTTTCCAGCAATGTTCAATGTCTTCTGAGCGCCTTCGGTTTTTCTAAGACATTATGGAAGAATTTTTTTTCTTTATTGTGTGTGTGTTGATAAAATTGTGTCTCTAGATATGCATTATGTTTGCCTCTTCAAGCCATGGTGATGTCATTTCACTTGCTTTTTCTTTTTAGGTATCGCGTCTTCACACGTCAGTTTATATAAGAAAATTATTTCTATTCCGTGCTTTTCTTTTCCTATGAACTGTTTCGACTACGGCTTATGATCACATCACGCTGCAACACCGGTTCCTGTATGATCAGCAAAGTTAAGCAACGTCGAGCCTAGTCAGTACCTAGACGAGTGACTGCTTGGGAATACCAGGTGCTCTAAACTTGAATGTGCGGTTGGTGTAACGGATTATGGTCTAGAATTGTTAATCGGAGAGCTGAGTTCCAATTCCAAATGGATTCGTTATATTCACTTATTCGCAAATACCCTTAAAAAAGGCATGAATCCGTTTCATCTTCTCCCATCTATTCTTACAATCTATAAATATTTTCTGGCTTTAAATAACCTGCAAAGGGTTGATAAGCCGTAGAAAAAGAATCAATCAATGTCTCGATTAAAACTAATTTTTTTATTTTTTATTTTTATTTTATAATGCCATGTCACTCCAGAGTCAAAGCTCGCCACATATTCCTTTTCTTCATTATCTGCGAATTGATCTGACTTATTGTGAAAATTATTGGAGTGGCATTCCATTGTCTTCTTTACAGTTTTGAATTCAGATTTGTCCTTCTCGTAGATTGGCTGCAGTATTTAACCCATAGTCGGGAAGAGGAGAAGAGATGGATTCATGCGTCTCCCAAGGAGCATAAGTGTGAAAGTGAACGCAACATGCTAGGCCGGAATTTGAACTCGTCTCGATGACTCGATAACTGTTGCGTTACCCCAATACAAATAAGTCTGCACAAGACCATAAGTGTTGAGCACTCAGAGAAAATCAAACTTATTACAGTAGTGATGATCTGCGAAACTAACATTGCTTATACAAAATTTGCTCCCACTCTATACGCCTTTACAACATCCCCATTTAGTAACTCTATCTTGAGTTGCACTTCGGCCTTGGATCGGGTGAACAACAAGTCAATTGTCATAGGGCAATTATGACCGAAGGCTGCCGTTCCTTTCTGCGGTAGACTGTTATAGGACCCAGTCTGTCGTATTTGACCCGTATCTGAGGGGAGAATAGATGGATTCATACTTTTCACAAGGACATTTTCGCAGAAATGAATGCAATGAACACAACTGGAATTCGAAATCTGCTCTCTGATTTATAATTCTGAGCCATTATCCATTATCCCACACTACACATTCGTGAATATATATATATATATATATATATATATATATATATAATAAGATTAATGTGAGTAAAAGTTTGTCACTTAGTTGATGGATGCTAACTTCATCCGTCCAATTTTGAGCGGGTATCAATTTCCTGCTTATATTTTTTTGGTTCTTCGTTTTTATATATGTTTAAAATTGGTATATATATATATAACAAAAAAGAACAGGTTTTGTTTTTGGTAGGCTGATTTATTTGAACGACAAATGGTTTTTATATATATAATTATTTATTTAAAAATATGATTCCTTCGCTACATAAGAGTTCTCATGTTTTAAAACAAGAGCTGAAAACTTCAATATAATTATTTGAATTAAATTGAATTAAATTTTCGGCTCTTGTTTTGAAACTTGAGAACTCTTATGTAGCGAAGGAATCATATTTTAAATAAATAATTATATTTAGGCTCTACTTTTGTATCGAGCACTGTTTTTTAAAAATAATAACAAAAATACTAAAGAACTTCGGATTGTTTGCCTAACGAGTTCTTTCCTATTTTCTATATATTTTCATTCACACACACACACATATATATAACTATGAATTAAATAAATAAATATAACTAGAAGCAACCATACATGCGTACGATCACGCACATAAATAAAATATTTATTTGCAAATTTATATAATTTTTGGTGTTAACAAAAGAGTGCTCAATGTCGTAATACAGAGCTATAAAGTATATATTGATAAATTTACATATTACATTAAGTCGAAAGTTTGACTCGGAGTTTCATGTTCATTACAATCTTAATGTACTTACAATGGTGATGAACTATTGAACATTTACTATGTTTTTCATCTATGAAACTCTAGAGTCGAAGTGCGGATGAAGCTGAATAAAGCATCAGTCAGCTAAGTGACAAATTATATATATATATATATATATATATATATATATATATATATATATATAAAGAGATTAAAAATCCACAATTCTTTGACATTTTTTTTTAAAAGTGCTCCATACAAAGTAGAGCTTAATAGTATATTATTATTATTTAAAATATATAAAAAATATCATCGCAACATGGAAATTCACCTGTTGGAGAACTAAAATTATTTTTGTTCCATTTTCAAGCAATATTGAATAACTTCGGATAAATGATCTACTTTAGTAAGTGAAGTAGTATTGTCTTGAGAAGTTTAAATGGGAGAGGTTCATGAGATTACATTTTTTTTATTTTTTTATTTGGGGCTTATTTCTATTTTTGAAGGATTTGAATACAAATCTGATTTAAAAATTCTATTTTTGACAGATCTCAATACAAATCTGAGTTAAAAATTTTTAAAACTCAGATCTGTATTTCGATCCGTCAAAAATAGAAATACGCCCTAAAAAAAACTTTAAAATCTCATTAACCCCTCCCTTAAACTCCTCAATATAATCCTACTTCGCTTGCAAATGGAACAAAAACAATTTAGTTCCGAAACAGGGGAATTTCCGTGTCGCGATGATAAAATATTTTAAATAATAATATATATATATATATATATATATTATAAATTAATTGATTTAAAATATGTTTTTTTTTCGCTACACAGTTCCAACCATGTTTCAAAAATAGAAGCTAAAAACCCCGAATTTAATTTTGCAATTAAATTAAAAGCATTAGTTCCATTTCATCCTGTCTCGAGATTTCTCTCTGGTTTTTGTCTTTTTTTTAAATCACCTTGTTTTTCTTCTTTCTGCTTTTTTTCTTTAATGTGCCAATCATAGACTCTCACATGATCATCTTGCCTCAACCCCTTCCCCTAGCTTCACTTGCTTTTATTTAAATGTTTTTCTTTCTTTCTTTTTCGTCAGCCAACACTTTGCATTTTTGTTGTGTCTATTTGTTGTCATTCAGCGGCATTACCACTACTTTTTTCTTTTCTTTCTTTCTTTTCTTTTTATTTTACTTTTTTTTCTTTTTTTCTATTTATCATTTTTCTGGTGTTCTTTCTTTCTTTCATCTGACCGCTTTTCATAGTCTCTTTTTTTTTTTTTTTCGTCATTTGTTTTTTCATTTTTCTTTCAGTTTTCTGCCTTCTTTTTTCTTTTTTCTTTTTTCATATGAATTCTTCATTTTTTTTGTATATCTTCCCGCTTCTTATCGAATTCATTCGTTTTGTGTTCTTTCTTTCATAACAAGTACGTTTTTTTCATTCTTTTTACTAGCATTACGTTTTTTCTTTCTTTCATTACAATTATTATGTTTTTCTTTCTTTTTCATTACTAGTATGTTTTTTTTTCTTTCTTTCATTACTAATACGTTTTTTCTTTCTTTTATTCTTCCTTTCATTACTCGCATGTTTTTCTTTTTCTTTCTTACTTTCATTCATTACTAATATGTATTTACATTCTTTCTTTACTAATGTTTTTCTTTCTTTAGGTTTATTATTCTGTCTTCTTTTTTTATCTCTTTCTTTCTTTTTGAGTTCCTTTTTTTCTTTCTTTCTTTCCGTCGTTCATTCGTTCCTTCTGTATTGTTTTTTTTTTCTCTTTTTCATTACTAAAATTTCCTTCTTTTTTCCATTACTAGCGTCTATTTATTTATTTCTTCTTACATTCCTTCTTTCATTGCTAGGATGTTCTTTCTTCTCACGTTCCTTCATTTTTTTTTCTTTCTTTTGTTTATCTTTTTCTGTGTTTTATCTATCTTTATTTCTCTCTCTCTCTCTCTTTCCCATTCACTAAAGTAAACCCATTCTAACTCCGCCGACACCAAACCTACCTTATCCTTCAAACCACTCTTCCTCCCTCAACTCTCCTTGGTTCTTCCTTTCTCTCTCTCACCGCCATCCTTTCCTCCCTTCTCTGTTATCAACCTCGTTGCAACCTCTTGCAAAACAGGATTCACTCTTCATATTTATAATGGCCGCTTCACAAGGAGCAGTTTGTATGTCGACCGCTGCTGCTGCTGTTACTGTTGGCACCACTGTGGAAATACCAGACTAACAACCTTTCTCACCAACTTCACCACCATTGGCGTCGCATACTCCACCATCACTGTCGACAAGAGACTCTTTATTTCATGTAAGGCACACACACACACATATATATATATATACAAGACTGGCACCTGCTCTACAAAGAACCAACTATTTATTAGTCACACAGATTCTAACGAGTAATTGTAACTGCAACTACCCAAGTATATATTTGCAGTCCGATTGGGTGACAAGGAATATTCGGGTATGAATTGAAAGGTGGTTTTCGGCACATTGATTGCGATACAATGGTCATAATTCCTTTAAAAAAGTATTCTATATGATCACTAAGGTTTAGAACATTTTTCAAATTTCAATTATTTCAAGTATTTAAAAATATTATGGTTTTATTTGAAAATTAGGACAAAAAGGGGGACATGCTAACATTGATGGAAATAGTACTATTTACATAGCAACGCACGCTTTTCGACAGGAAGAGATTTCATCTTCACTTAAGAACACCCCACTTCTCCGACACACGTGTTTGCCTGCGTGTATTACGCACAAGATTCTCGTCATTTTATACATAGTGTATGGCAAAAGAGCTTCTCTTTAATTCATGCATCTATTCAAGTAAACCGTCACAAATACGTACAGTGTAACCCGGATGTAAGAGAGTTGTCGGGACCGGAGAAGAAGTCTCTTACATCCGGGTTACACTGTATGTTATTCCTATCTACCTCGATCTGTTCTTATCTATCTATCTATCTATCTATCTATCTATCGGTCTGTATCTATCTATCTATCTATCTATCTATCTATCTATCTATCTATAAAAAGAATCTCGGCCCGGTCGGATCTGTATCTTTGTGAGCTGCCGGGTCGGGTGTCTCAACTCTTGTAGAGGAACCCGGACGAAGCTCTGCCTGAAGGGTAGGGTTTCGTACGGGGATGATTGAACTAGCCCGCTTGGACGGGTTTAGATGGGTTTATTTTACTGGGCCTACAGGCTCAGACATCATTCAAAAATAAATAAATACCATCTATATCTATTTTCTATCTATCTATCTATCTATCTATCGGTCTGTATCTATCTATCTATCTATCTATCATGCATGTTTTACAATCATTATGAAAATAAAGTACTGATTCTTTTCATTTGTCTGTATACATGTGACCGTAGAGGTTAGTGGGAGTGCTTACATGTTCGCACGCCACCCCCATTCACCTATTACCTGTCATTTATTGTTTAAAGTAAGAATTATCTTTATGAAGGTATTGATGTTACTTTTTAATACTGATTGAATTTCGCATATATACTCTTGGGAAAGACATGAATCCATTTATTCGCCTCCCACATATATGGGTTAAATAGTAGGCTAGATTGGACTCTTTTTGGCTGTGGCCGATCTACTTGGACTACTTTGAATTTAAGATCTTTAAGAAGACAACAGGAAACTATCCCACTGTATTTTACAAGGAGCCAAGTCTATTCATAGACATTAAAGAGCGTCCTGGGTATGACGATAAACTACATTCGGCAGCAAGACCCCCGATCAGGAGATTTTGAGACGCATGGAACCACCTCTTAATTGCTGGTGTTCCCAGGTTACCCTGACCCGGGGTGGTAGCATTTGTTAGGGTTCCAGCTATGGGCAAATAGTTAACCTCCAAACTGGAGGTCAAAACACTATGAAAGTGCAAAAAGAGGTTTTAATACCAGCAATACATTTTTTTGGGAAAAAATATTATCAGCAATAAAAATCTTGTTAGTATTAAGTAACCCATTGAGGTTGATATGTTGTAAAACAAAAGAAACCAAACCTAGAAAATTTACAAAAGAAAAATAATCTTAGCTTGTCTAACAAGAGCAATTACGACTGATTAGTAGATTTCAATCCTGACTGGATGCCCCATGCTTTCGGCCTTGTGTCACATCTAAGTTACACTTAAAAAATCATCATACAGTTACCACAGAAACCCATCTACAAACCTTCTACAACACTAATTGTTGCGGTCCTGAGCATGACGATAAACTACATCCGGCAGCAAGACCTCTGATCAGGAGGTTTTGAGGGGCATGGAACCACCTCTTAATTGCTGGCGTTCCCAGGTCCGCCCTGACCCGGGGTGATAGCACCTTTTAGGGTCCCAGCTATGGGCAAATGCTTAACCCCAACCCGAAAAAAGGGGTTAAAACTGCGAAAGTATAAAAATAGGTTTTAATACCAGCAATACTTTTTTAGAAAAATTATTACCAACAGTACATTTTTGAAAAAGAAAAATATTGCCAGCGATACATTTTTAGGGAAAAAATATTACCAGCAATAAAAATATAACAAAACAAAACAAATCTAGAAAACTTACAAAAGAAAAAAGCATCTTCGCTTGTCTCACATGAACAATTACGACTGAGTAGCAGAGTTTGTTCCTCACTGGGTGCCCTATACTTTCGGCCTTGTGTCACATCTAAGTTACAATTAGAAAATCACCATACAGTTTCTACAGAAACCCATCTACAGACCTTTCACAACCCTAATCGTTGCGATCCTGGGTATGACAATTAACTACATCCGGCAGCAAGGCCACAGATCGGGAGGAGCATAGAACCACTCTTTAATTGATATGCTGTAAAACAAAATAAACCAAACCAAAATAAACCAAACCAAAATAAAACAAAGAATACATGTTCTATTCATACGAATGTATCCTAAAAAATCTTGTCGGCATTAAATAACCCATTGAGGTTGATATGCTGTAAAACAAAATAAACCAAACCAAAATAAAACAAAGAATACATATTCTATTCATACGAATGTATCTTAAAAAATCTTGTCCGCATTAAATAACTCATTGAAGTTGATATGCCGTAAAACAAACCAAACCAAACAAAAACAAGATATTAAAAAAAAAGAATGTTGTACAAAGCCATGATCTTCTAAGTCCTGAATGGATATGGCTTTTAAAAATCAATTCAGTCCTTAGAGAGAATATATTTTTCTTTTATTATATTTCTTGTCCCTTAGGAACGTGTGCGAACATGGCTTTCCACAACATCATATCCTCTGTAGCTCTTCGTAACTTTCGCTTTTTGCTATTTCTCCCTACCTCCCACTATCTCTTTGATATGTCCTGTGAGTGTCTAATTCTCTATGTCCTCCTTCCTCATTAAGAAATTACTTAATTCTTTTAGCAGTTCATTTAAGTTCTCGAAAATCAAAAATACACATCCTATCTATATCTATATATTAGACGCACACTCCAATTATTTATAGGAGCATGTGTTAGGTTCAGCGATGGCGTGAGAGATGTTCGGTTGGTCGTTCCTTCATGACGGGACCAGTTCACACCCTCGATGGTCCCGAAGACTACAGAAGAAGGTCTTGCTGAGCGCCGTTTTCGTTCGCTCGATCACGTACTGCGACGACCAAATGACCAGAGTCATCGACCAATTCGCCCCGTCATCTGCAAACTGGAGACTTCCTCGCAGTAGATGACGAGTGCGCTCGAATCTCAAGCAGATTGATTCGGTACTGGAGGATGTCCCGACGCTCTACCAAGACCGTGTGAGCTGGAGGGACAAGGTGGCTTTCGTGGGCTCAACGTCTTCATGGCATGAGATTTAGCAGCAGCAACGATGAGAAAACGAGCCTTCGCCATACTCCTTTTTCGATTCGAGTCTTTTCACTAATTCCGTTCTATATATGTATGAAGATTATTTGCTTCATTGTGAATTACATAAGTCAATTATGTGACATACGTCATATAAACATAAATGCCATCTTATCAACCTGATAAATAAAAATATATTTCAGGGAAAGAATTTGATAAACTCCCCAAATATTAGGATCTGGAAAAAGAAATTAGAAAACCGTTATTCCATTGCTTACAGGAGCGTTAGTAATAATTAAGAATAATACTGATATACATGTAATGACAAAAGTACACAGGTGTAGGCTTTAAGAAAGCTTTATTCAACTGAGAATATAATGTCCTTTTATAGTCCCAGTAAACAGAAATAGCTCTCTCAAAGAGGAGAGTAATAAAACAAAGGGAAATCGATCTTGATTATTCATAACAATAATAATTGCAAATTACATAAAATTATTACTTTTTATGTAATATTTACATTTTTTTCGATAAAACTTAAAATCCGTTAACACAAACAGAAAGGAACAGCAAAAGAAAACTGTTTATCGTATCTATCGATATTAGATATTGTATCGTTGTAATAACAAATGTATGCAGGTGTAGGCTTTAAGAAAACCAAGTGTAGGCTTTAAGAAAGCTTTATTCAACTGAGAATACAAGGTTCGCATATAGTGTCCTTTTATAGTCCCAGTAAACAGAAATATCTCTCTCTCAAAGAGAAGAGTAACAAAACAAAAGGAGACCACTATTGATTATCCATGACAATATGTATTAAGAAAATCCAGGGAAATACAAAAAAAAAAAATATGTGAGAATGAACACTATTTGGAAAAAAACATTCTTAAAAAAATTACTTTGACAGAAAAATCAACGCATACTTCTAGACTCGTAAAAGATTTGATTAGTGATTGTATCAAACAGAAAATAAGATTATTTGGGAGTGCACAAGTGGCCAAACTGCTTGGAACAGCTCATGTACTCGGGAAAAGGCGTTCTCTAAGCTGCAATATGACTTTCATCATTCGATTAAAAGATCTAAGTGTCGGAGAGGATATCTACTATTACTAATATTACTACTATTGTTAATAATAATAATAATAATAATAATAAAATACAATGATTGTGGCAACTCTGTCAATATTATTCAGCACTTAGAGAGTGCGATTTAAGAAAAGTAAAATAAAAGACAATGTTCATCAACATTTCGCCAGTATGTCTGTCTTCAAGTTATGTTTAAAAATTATATACAAGTATAAAAATATTAAAAAAAAATCTACAAAAAATTACAACTCTGTACAAACGTCGCTTGTTTTGAGAGAAAAAAAATGGCTGTCCTAGTAATCAATTGGTACCGGTAACTGTAATAGTAATTGATTCCCTTGTTGCACCAAAGTGGGAGGGTCGGTATATTATCGACGCCAGCGCGACTTTGGTTGTGTGGACTGGGTAATTTATGGTCTTAGCCCATGTAGACGCACATGAACTATCCACTTTAATCTGGCCTTGTGCCATATCCCGTCACTGTCGGGGTCGAGTAAATAAGAGTAGTATCTTTTTTTTCCTTATCAACTGTATTTCTGTCTACGGACAGTTCACTAAAAAGCTTAAGAGATGCTTGGTTCTGGGGTTTCTAATCCTGCTTCAGCACCTCTCTTACTGTACAAAAGAGGGAGAGATGGTGAATACCAACGCCAGCGTATCAGTGGTCACTCGGAATGAGTAATTTTTTGTCACAACGTTTTCTCTCTCACAAACAAATAAATAAACATCCCATCATTAAATAAAAAACCCCGACAAGTAAATAAACATCCCATCATTAAATAAAACCCCCAACAAACTAGAAACACATACCATTAACTTTTCAATAGGGTGTTGCGTACTTTTAGCATAGGTTGGGAGAGAGTAACATAGTCACAAAAAAATTGAAAACCACGACAGTGTTTTCTCGTTTTTCCGGACTTCGATTATCCGGGCGTGAAATGAAGAAGGGAACTGAAATTACCCAGACATTTCTATATTATCCGAACTAAATCCAATCTAATATTTCATTTCAGATAAACGTTTTGAGAATTTAGAAAACCATACTTCCGAAAAATCTCCTACATAGGGTAGCAAAGGAAAGCAAGAAGAAAGGACTAAGCATAAACTACAAAAAGACAGGATGCAGGATTATTAGCAAAAGGATGACTCCAAAATGCAAACTATCGTTCGGGAATACTAAAATGAAGCAGGTACAGACATTTAAATATCTGGGAAGTGTGCTAACGGAGGACGGAATGTGCGACACTGAGATCCGAAGACGTATTGGGATGACCAAAGGTGCATTCCAAAAGCTAAGCAGAGTATGAAGAGAAAGGAAAATTTCGTTGCAAAGAAAAGATACGTGATATTTGTCCTCCTGTATAGCAGCGAATGCTGGACAATCTCCTCAAAGATGAGGAAAAGACTTGAAGCAACAAATGTGGTTCTACAGAAAGATACTGAGGACTGATCTAACATGTGAGCAACAAGGAGGTTTTGGAGAGAGAAAGGAA